AAAGATGAGATTTTCTTCAATCCATCTATGGATTCTCAACATTCATGCACCTATTGAGTTTCTAAGCTCACATGCAACCTACACAACAAACATTCTAGCTTCCCTTACCTGAAGGTTGGCTCAGAATAGCCAACAACTGTGACGAAATAGAATCCCCTTCCAAAGCTCAACCCGGAACTTCAATCATCCCAAAACAAGCTTTCTAATCTGAATTTCAAGAAAAGCCAGAAGGCATTAGTGGTCTAGAGGAGAAAAGGAGTCAAATAGAGAAATTTGGGAGAGAAAGAAGCTCACTGACCCAGAGACCTTCTCTCTAAAACTTCTCTCTAAAAACTCACATTTTCCTGAAGGCCCCTAACCCCTATTTATAGATTTTCGGACTTCCCCAGAACGGCCCGTACCGAGTTCGGAACGGCCCGTTCCGAACTCCTAATTCACGCACAAAAACCACGCCCAGAACGGCCCGTTCCAGATTGGGAACGGCCCGTTCCGGGCTACTAAATTAGCTATTTTTTTTAACCACGTTACAGATATTGCACCTAAGCTGGTCGAGATAGAGAGCCTCAAATAAGAATGACGCTCGACATGATATCAGAATTCTTCACTTGGAGAAACCAATTTTAAGTAACAACCTAAAACTCAACAAAGATTCAACACATGCAACACTATAAACCAACTATATACATGACAACCAACAAAAAAATGTACTTCAATTCAACATGCAATAACTAATTTATTTTGCCATATTCAAACCAACATGCTTCGAAAACCCCAATCCCAACTTAGGTCATTGTACTTAAAATATGGAACTCATTAGTAACTCGAATTAACATCAACCATGACAATGCAACAACTTTACTATACTAAAAATTTTCTAGCTTCCCTTACCTCAGAATCGGAGAGAATTGGGGAAGGAGAAGAAGGAAATCTTGAACGACCCACAACACAACTCTAACAATGAATCTACAACTCAATTCAAGGCTCCTAAGCACCTGAATTCACCAACAAGACTACACAATGAGAATCAAAGAAGGAGGAGAAAAAGATTGAGAGAAAAGAGATGCTCATGGACTAAAGTCTTTCTCTCTAGAATCCTTTCTCTAGACTTATGAGAAAAAGAGTTTATAAGACTTTATTTAAAACAAAAATATAATATACTTTTTCTCTTAGGATCAACCAACTCTTTGCTGAAATAAACTCCCAACACTGAAACTCTCAAGGGATCCTCAAACTACAAAGCCTCTCAACATTGATTAACTGTTCAACTTATCGACATGAAACAACTTAGAATAATTATAACACTTCACGACTTATAATGTTACAACCTTTAATGAAGTTTCTCATTCCAATCACTTTTTTTTCATATACAATATTTAAATCCAAGACTTTGCTTAATAAAACCTGTTATACAATGCATAACATTAAAAAACATATAAAATTTTGATTTTTTTTTTATTATAGATCACAACTATTTTTGATGAGACAATCTTATTATGGTTACGAATTTTTTTTAAAGTATTTAATACAATTACATATTTATTATTAAAACTAGAACTAGAGTCCTCAAATTAAACATAGATAAACACCATTTACTTAATGCATCCTACCTGTTTTCAAATTAGAAAGAGATATGCAGTTGCAAAATTAGACAATCATTTGTTTTTATTCGTATTATCTAATTCAACATATAACTTTTAGTCTGAGATTTCAGCCCACCTGACTTTTTTATTTTCACAATACCAATCAATATATGTGAATTTACTTATTAGAGAGATAGAAAAAGATGATGTTCTACAATTTATTGTACATTTATCATTCCTCAAGCTGTAGTGCTACACTACAGAGATCATGACTTGCAAGCACTAACGTACCTTTCCCCTTCCAAATTAAATTAGAACATAACGGAAGCTGGCATAATTTGTCTACATATAATCCAAAAAATACTTGTGTGCAACGGCAATATTCTCAACAAATTGGATTCATGTTAATTTTTAGATATAATAAATTTTAATTTACCATAATAAATTAATAATCATTCTATATGGCAACATGATATCACGTGTCAGATAAGAATTTATCGTGCAATCCAACAAAAGCTCTTCAAAGGATACTATTTTTAAACGTTATACAAATCACTGGAAAAAGAAGACATCGGCAAAACAACGAAAAAGTTCCTGACATGCCTCGGAAGTCTACAATTCACATGCTCCGCCAGACTGTCTCCTTCGTATAAGAAGTTTTGGTAATAAAGTATAGATTTAAATACTTTTTCTTTATAATTTTATAAACTATATTTTTCAATTCTTATTAAAAATATACTATTTCAATTTTTATATATACTATTTTTATTTTCTTTTAGTTCTAAAATAATAAACGACATAGACTAACAAAATGATATTTAGAGATTTATTACCTTTTGTTTTTAACTATTAAAAAACTAAAAGGTAATACAGTTATTATAAAAAAAACATTTAAATCTAAAATATATAAGCAATCAATCTTCGATATCCCCGAGTTTTTAACTGCCAGCAATAACAAAGTTAATAAATGAAAAACAATGTATAATAAACATTTAATTAGTAAACACTTGATTCAATTGATTGCACCATTTAGTATTCTCATTTTCACTACCAAAGGAGTATAAGAAACGTGTGAGAAGATAAATATTCCTTCGCTACCTAACCATCAAATGCAAGGATTGTGAGGGAAGATACAATATGAGGAAGCATTATTCTAAAGTCAACTTGCAGGGCCAAAAAATCTCTTAGTTCATTTAAGAGGGCACAAACATTGCATTAAGCAACCACACCACAACTGCCATCCCCCTTCTCTTCTTCCCCTTTGGCAGCCGTCATAAACAATGTCTCCTTCTTTTCTCTTCCCTCAAACACAATCCACAGTCCTCCCTGACCCTTCAACCTACTTCTCCCCAAACCTTCTTTCTTCTCCACTCCCCACAAACTCTTTCTTCCAAAACTTTGTTATTCCAAATGGGTCACAGCCTGAGTACATTCACCCTTACCTCATCAAATCCTCAAACACCTCCCTCTCTGCCTCCTACCCATTTCTATTCTTCACTGCAGCAATATTGTACCAGGTTTTTGTGCCTGATCTCACAATCTCTGCCTCTCGGACATATTCAAATAAACAAAACCGTGTAGTTTCATCCTATAGTGACCTTGGTGTCACTTTGGACATTCCCTCTTCCAACTTAAGGTTCTTTCTTGTCAGAGGAAGCCCTTTCATAACTGCTTCTGTGACAAAGCCAACATCTCTATCCATCACAACAAATCAAACCATTGTTTCTTTGACTTCCACTAATGACAACACTAAGCACACCCTTCAGCTCAACAACACTCAGACATGGCTCATATACACCTCCTCACCAATTTATTTGAATCATGTTCCTTCTGAGGTCACATCCAAGCCATTTTCTGGCATAATTCGTATAGCAGCGTTGCCTGATTCCAACCCCAAGAATGTGGAAATTCTTGACAAGTTCAGCTCTTGTTACCCCGTGTCGGGTGATGCAACACTCAAGAAACCATTCCGTGTGGTGTACAAATGGCAAAAGAAGCAGTCTGGGGACTTGCTCATGCTAGCTCACCCTCTTCATGCTAAGCTTCTATCATATGATCGTGAGGTTACTGTTCTGCACGATTTTAAGTATAGAAGTGTCGATGGTGATCTTATTGGTGTTGTTGGAGATTCATGGGTGTTGGAAACAGATCCTATTCCTGTAACATGGCATTCTAACAAAGGTATCAAAAAGGAGTCATATGGTGAGATTGTCTCAGCGCTTGTTAAAGATGTAAAGGAGCTAAATTCTTCTGCAATAACAACAAATTCATCTTATTTCTATGGGAAGCTTGTTGGAAGGGCTGCAAGGTTGGCATTGATAGCAGAAGAAGTGTCTTTTCCAAAAGTGATTCCCAAGGTTAGGAAGTTTCTGAAGGAGACTATTGAGCCCTGGTTGGATGGAACTTTCAAAGGGAATGGTTTTCTATATGAAAGTAAATGGCGTGGACTTGTTACTGAACAAGGCTCTACGGATTCAACTGCTGATTTTGGGTTTGGAATTTATAACGATCACCATTTTCATTTGGGGTACTTCCTTTATGGAATTGCAGTTCTTGCAAAGATTGACCCTGTCTGGGGCCAAAAATACAAATCACAAGCTTATTCACTTGTGACAGATTTTATGAACTTGGACCAAAGATATAACTCAGATTATCCACGCCTAAGGAATTTTGACCTTTACAAGTTACACTCTTGGGCATCAGGGGTGACTGAGTTTGAAGACGGAAGGAATCAGGAAAGTACAAGTGAAGCTGTGAATGCATACTATGCAGCAGGGTTGATGGGTCTAGCTTATCGTGATACCGATCTTGTTGCCACTGGATCAACCCTCTTAGCATTGGAAATTCGTGCTGCACAAACATGGTGGCATGTAAAAGTTGGAGACAACTTGTACGAAGAAGATTTTGCAAAAGATAACAGGATAGTCGGTGTTCTGTGGGCTAACAAGAGGGACAGTAAGCTATGGTGGGCTCCTGCTGAGTGTAGAGAATGTAGGCTTAGTATCCAAGTTCTACCCTTGTTGCCTGTTACTGAGACCTTGTTCTCTGATGCTGTCTATGCGAAGGAGCTTGTGGAGTGGACACTGCCTTCTTTGAAGAATAAAACAAATGTAGAAGGCTGGAAGGGATTTACCTATGCCTTGCAAGGGATTTATGATAAAAATACAGCATTGAAGAAGATAAGAATGTTGAAAGGTTTTGATGATGGAAACTCGTTCAGTAATCTCCTATGGTGGATTCACAGTAGATGAGGTGTGGTGCAAATAAGATTTAGGACATGTTCTTGCAATCTTAGTTTTCAATTTGATCCATATCATCGTTTTTTATTTTTTGTAATTTATGAAATTCTACGTCTATCAGTTATTGTTAATGAATGTGGTGGGGGGGGGGGGGGGGGGGGGGGGGGGTAAATTTGGGATTTTTTGTAAAAAATTAATAAATTTTGCAGTTTAACAGATTTTCTAGTTTCTACTGTATTTGAATTTAGAAGTTCAATTCCCTGTAATTTTACAACGTTTCTAGCGCAAACAAAACTTGCTTTGTTTATGTTTGTTGTCAAGCGGTGTTAGAGACAAGTGAAATCAGATCAACAAATGATGCTCAAGCTTATTGAAATAACGAAGGTACAAAACTACCCAAGCGTAAGTGGTTTCATAACACACGTTTTGTAATGAGAAATGAGTAGTTTACGATATTATTTTTGCAAGAGTTTTCTAGGTTAATTTAGTAGGCCAATATGAATGATAAGCCAACATCATAATAACACTTATAAATAACGAATTAAGTGAGATCCACTAAATTAGAATTAGAACTCACTATATAAACTGTGACTCATCTCATTTAATCGATTTCACTTGAGTTTTATTAACCAACAATAATATGTCAAAAAGGGTTGATTGAGAAAGGCTATGAATTATGAAATGACAAGATAACCTGAAAACCAAAATCCAAGCCTATATCCATGTAAGTTTCACCTTTCTACAAGAAAAGCAGAATCCTTGTGGGTTGTGACCTGTGAGAAGATTTATATCAAATATAAAATGGGCCTTAGAAGCATAAGTGTTCTAAGAGCAACTTTAATGGGAGTTGCTTGACTCATCAAGCAACTTCAACATCAGTTTCTTACCATTGGAGAGATGTGACATGACAGCAAGAGTTTCTTGTAGAGGAGAGAGGGTTGCTTAGTGAAGCAACGATTGCTTACTTTTGTGAACTGAAGGAGGCGCGGTGGTGAGGCGGTGGTTGGATGGCGGAGGTGAGGGTTTGGACGGCGGAGGCGCGCAGTTGGACGGCAGAGGCACGCGGTTGGACAGCGAAGGCGCGCGGGTGGACGGCGGAGGCGCGCAGTTGGATGGCTGAGGCGCGCGGTTGGACAACGGAGGCGTGCAGGTGGACGTTCCTGAGCTTTGCGCGAGTGGACGTTCTGGCTGGACCTGCGCACGGCGGGGACGGTGGCGGTAGACGGAGTTTGAAGGTGCAGTTGGAAGAAAAGGAAGGGTGAAGAAAAATGAAAAAAACCTCTTAGGAAGAAGAAGAAAAAGAGACGTTTTAAAGAAATAAAAAATAAAAAATAAAACTAGTCGTTGTAAAACTAGTCGTTATAAAACTAGCCGTTGTAAAACTAGCTGTTATAAAACTAGCCGTTATAAAATTATTTATATGTAGACTTTGTCATCTAATCCTACTCATTCTCACATCTTCTCTCACACAAAATCTCCATCTATTTTTCTTCGATTTTTAGATTGATACGTGATGGATCGAAACAACAATTTAGATGATCCAAACATCAATTTAGATGATCTTTTGGATCAATTCATAGATGAGGAACTACACGACAACACCGACGAAGACTTGATCCAGTTGATGATACAAACCTATCAACAACAACTTACCAACACCATAAGGTCAAACCAAACAAGGAGGGTAGTTCATCGAAATCGTGAGGAAGGTCATGAACGATTGTTTAATGACTATTTCTCTGAAAATCCAGTATACACAACTCAGTTCTGAAGACGGTTTCACATGCGACGACATGTATTTCTCCGAGTTGTAGATTCCATAAGCAATCATGATGAGTACTTTCGAATGAGACTCGATGCAACACGTAGAAGGGGCCTATCACCGTTGCAAAAGTGCACAACTACTCTTCGTATGCTGGCTTATGGGACACCTGCTGACTTTGTGGACAAGTATATTAGAATTGGTGAAACCACTGCAGTGGAATACTTACAAAGATTTGTGAAAGGAATTTGTGAAATATTTAGGGGTGAGTATCTGAGACGCCCTAATAACGAAGACATTTAACGACTACTACAGATGGGAGAGGCACATGGGTTTCCTGGAATGCTAGGTTCAATTGACTGTATGCATTGAGAATGGAAGAATTGTCCAGTTGCGTGGAAAGGTCAATTTTGTCGAGGTGATCATGCCAACCCAACAATCATTCTTGAAGCTGTTGCATCGCAAGACTTGTGGATTTGGCATGCATTTTTTGGGACTACAGGTTCGAATAATGATATTACTGTGTTAAATGCATCTAATGTATTTAACAAAGTTCTTTTAGGAATTGCGGCGACAGTGCAATACACCGTGAATAGAACCCAAGATAATATGGGTTACTATCTAGCAGATGGCATATATCCAGACTTTGCTACATTTGTCAAGACCATCTCTATGCCACAGGGGGAAAAAAGGAAATTATTTGCCCAACAACAGGAATCAACGAGAAAGGATGTAGAACGTGCATTTGGAGTGCTTCAATCTTGATTCGCAATCATACGAGGTCCGACACGTTTTTGGGATGCTGCAATAATGAAAAATATAATTTATGCATGTATCATATTGCATAAAATGATTGTCGAGGACGAGCGAGACACCTATCAAAATTATATTGATTATGATGGTGTAGATGATGACATGTCAAGATCTGAAATATCTATAGGTGTTCATCCCAATTTTAGAACAACATACCTTCAAAGGAGAGCAGACGTTCATGACAAACGAATACACTGCCAATTTCAAACAGATCTTATTGAACATATTTCAGAACGTTTCAGAAATAATAATGATGAAAATTAATTTCATATAATGTTTATGTATTTATTATTGTTTTATTTTATTTTTAATATTTACTTATTGTGTATTTTTTCTCATAATTTATTATCTTTTATTGTAGTGCAATTGTCTTTTTTAATAAAAATTTTAATTTGATTCATAAATGATTTGAAAAAAAATTCTAGAAGTTAAGTTTCTCAAAATTTCTTATTATTGGAGTAAATTTCTGTTTGAGTTGCTTAATGCTGATATGACATACTGGAACCACTTTTTTTATTTTCCAATGCATGAAGTAACTCAAATAAGTTATTTTCATTGGAAATACCCTAAGAACTCTTACCCGCTTTTCATTAGGATCTATGAAGAAAACTTGCCATGACCTATCCTTTTGTTTTTTGGTCAGGTACCTGTTTACTATATAGTATGATTAGGACCTTTCTTTTGGAATCAGAGATGCCCCAAGAAAACAAGGGACATCAACAGTACAACACAAACTGCTGTAAGTTATTCTGACTAAAAACTCCAAATTGATTTGACGTTCGGTTTCACTGTGACTAGAAGGATCTGAAACTCTGATAATAATGTATTCAGAAAAGCAACATTCGACTCAAACTTAAACAATTCATAGAAAATTCTTCACAGATCCTTTGAGGTTCACTAGACAACACTTGACTCGGTATTGAGTTTGAGAAAATAACTACTGAAACAAAATATTTATATTTAGTAATATTGATCTCAATTCAATTTCAGAAGAAATTGCAAGAGTAATTACCGAGGTAGAAGCAAAAGACATTAACAATTTCTTCGGAATTTGGCTCATTCACTAACAGTGGTAGAGAGCCTAATACATTGAATTGTTCCTGCACGGCCACTTCATCTGGGTGAGATTGCAGAACTGAGATTCAATGAACAAGGAATAGATTTCAAAAGCAACTTAAGCCTGCTTCCAATAATATACATTAAAGAAATGAATCAAATGATTGTAAGACAATTTTTTGGTCTCAGTCCAAGTACAATACAACAGAACACAAAGTTGGATCATTGATACACGAGATAAGAAAGATGAACCACAAATGAACAAAAAGAAATAAGATTGTGTTGAAATTAACTTGTTGCATGAAAAAATTAAGAGAATAAAGGTTTGGACGAGGAATTTTACAAATTTAAGGAATTTTAAATTCTTGGTATTTGAATTACTTTGATTTCAATTTCTATCATTCTTAAAATATTTTGTTTGGATGAGTCAATTCAAATTTCTTAAATTTTAAATTGTTAGGTTGAATATGATAATTTGATTCCATCATAGTAAAATTGATTTTAAAAATATATATATATGTTGAGATTTTTAAATTAAATTTTATAAAAATAAATATTAATCCATTTTTAAATATTTAAAAATTTTAAAAATTAATATTAGATAATATTTAATAATTTTAAAAATATTTTTGAATATCTAATAATTAAAAGAATGAAGAGATAATTTAAAATATATAGGTGAAATAAGAAAACAAATATGAGGAATTTCAAATTCTCTCATTTTTTGGAGAATTTGAAATTCTACTATCTGAAGGAATTTCACAAATGCTTGGATTTCAAATTCTTT